TCCATTAAAAAGTGACACCATAGACTTATTGAAATATAAGAAAATAATGTGAACTAAATGGAACATAAGTAGATGAAAAAGGTATTTTGGTCTTCTTATTTCAAATAAGACCTAATGGAATAGGAAAAAAGAATATGAATTGAATTGAATAAAACTCTTAGAAAATAGATTTATCAAAAAAACTCCCATTTAAAAAAAGTAAAAAACATGCAAACTCTTCATAGTTTCATAATAGTAGTAGATAAATAGGATGGTAGGGTAAGATTATTCGATTTTAGATTCTCAGTAGTGCTTGAGTTGTAGTGTTTCTTTTACGCTGTGTTTGGTGCTGTGTTTGGTTGGGGGATTTGGGAAGGGAAATGGAAAGGGAAATGGAAATGAAAGGAAAAGGAGAAAGAATTAATAGAATTTCAAATCCCAACTATGTTTGGTTGTGTTGGTTATAAAATAGAATTGATGTCCTAAAAGTCTCCTATTTCTTTATTTATTTCTCACCCCCTTTCTTTTCCCATATATTTTTTATTATAACCAAACATAAATAGGATTACATTTCTCATTCCTTTTCCAAATCCCACCTCAAAAACTCCAACCAAACACAGCATTAAGGATTGCCGCAATCAAACCAAGTGGATGGAGCATCTCTGATTCTAAATAGTTCCTGCGTGCAATTATAATTCAAATTGCAAATATTGTAATGTGACAATGTCTACTGCTAGAAATGATTCAAACCAGCATGAAATCCCTCCCTTATTGCATATGCATTTAAAGCATTACGAAACATTAAGATCTATGTTAGTTTCCTTCAAATCTGTTCACCATATTAAGATATGAATCAATTGTGCTCTGTTTTGATTATCCAGTCCAACTTTATCGATGTTGAATCATTGAGTTTGTTTTATTTGTCTTCTGGTGCAGTTGTTGGCATGTCATCTCACCGTTCTACGGGCTACAATGTTGACCAGCCTCGCAATCTTGCAAAGAGTGTTACAACCCAATGAGGAAGGTTCGTCTCACTTTTTTGAAGGGCTACATTGTTGACCATCTTCACAATCTCTCGGAAAAAATGTGGCAACCCAATTAGGAATCTTTATCCATAGAATTCTAATGCTCCTCACGTTTTAGAATATTGTGAAAAGCAGGATTTCCAACTGAACCCTTGCCTTCTTCTGGGCTCATAACCCCTTCTAACTTCTGTAATACAACTATTGCTTAGTTCTGTATTACCCAACTCATACAATGATTTTGTACCTTCATCATAAGTTGATTTCATATTATGTGGTTTTTAAATAATTGTAAGTCATAACCTGAAACTCTCCTTTTCTCTCCTCTCCTCTCCCCTCCTCTCCTCCTGTTTCTTTGTGACTCGCAAAAACAGTTAAAACATAGCTACTCACCCCTAGGGTCACTTTATTAGTAAGTCCCTTCTAATATTACTTTTCTACTTAAATTATCATCATCATCAAAAAAATAAATAAATATATAAAAACTACAAGTAAGGGTATATTTCTTAGAAAAATGTTACTCTCTTATAACATGATCTACAAAATCACCTCCGATGATGTAATAAGGATTGAGTTTTGCATGATTGATTTTTAAACTAATTAATAATTGATATGGAGAGAGATTGCAAGAGAGAGGATTGGTGGGGTGCTTGGTAATGGATAGTAGAAAAGGTTATTTGTGGTAATTTTTTCAATGGCCCTAATTAGAGGGTTAACAGAGCAGAGGCTCTAAATGCACCCCAAATTGTTGGTTGAACACATTATTTTTCTATTTTTTTATACAATTTTGTCTTTAAATTAAAGTTTTGTTTCGGGATAAATTAAAAAAGTTAAAAAGTTACTAAAAAAATTAAAAAGTCTATAATATTTAAAGGTAGTTTGTGAAAAAGTCACTTTCCCTTTGAATTTAACTACTTAAATGTCAAAAAATTAAAAATCAAAAGAGTAAAATAATTATTTTAATTTTATTATAATATTTTATTACACGTCTTAACCAAAAATACCTTTTGAACCAAATAATTAAAAAATATACTTATTTATCCCTAACAACTACCTAATTTGAAAACCTTATTCTCACATCCATTAAATGTTTTTTTCATATGAAGTATAGATGTCGTCACGGTCAGTGGTCCAATGAGAACAGAGAAAGGAGAAAGAAAGTGGTGAGAAAAAGGCTAAAAAAGTCCCACCCACCAAGCGCAAGAGAAGACAGGTGTGCTTTAAACAGTAGTAATAGGTAGTTCTAGCGGAGCTATTGTAAAAACACCTCTACTGAGTTGGTAATAACAAAAAAAAAAAAAAAAAAAAAACCAAAAAAAACAGAAGACAAAATACAATAAAAAAAGACAAATTAAGCGATTACTTGAAATATACTAAATAAGTGTATTTTTTAATTTTTTAAATTAAAAAATTGAGAAAAAAAAATATGGTTGTTTGGGATAATTTTTTAACTTTTTACGAAAAAAATGTGTATTAAAAAATTATATAAATTTGTGTGTAGGAGAAGATTGTGATGGAATAGGCCCTACAGTCGAAAGGCGAAAAAGGCAGCGTGTGCAGAGGGTAGGGTAGGAGATGATTTCCTCCTTTTCGGGCATTGAATTGGACGGTATTGTTTGGCCCGTTGAGGCCCACCACATGTCTCGTTTCGTTAATCGGAACCGTTGAATATGTAAAACTTGTCGAGTACTATATGCTTGTAAAAAATCACCATGATCGAACATCGATAGCTATCTAATCCGATTAGCTTTTTTTCAACCGTTAACTATAACATTATCTTTTTTTTTTATACAAAACTGATTTGATCATAACTTGTTTTTCATTAACATATATTACTCGATGAGTTCTACACATTAAACGGTTCAGATTATCAAAACGAGACCCGTGATGGCCCCCACGGACCAAACAATACTGTCCTTAAGCTTGCCTCCGCCTGTGTAATTTGTCCTCATCAAAGTCAAGCAAAAGACAACTCACGTCAGAGTGAGTTGTCTCACAATTTGTATAAAACTAATTTTTTTATAATTTTTTTTTATGAATAGTGATAATTTTTTAACTTTTTGAGTTTTTGTCTTATTTTGAAGATGTTAAACCAGACCTTAAAATTATTTTAGAACTCCTTTTTTAAAGTTCTAAACATTTTCCTGCTTTAAAATTGTTGTGCGAGGTTGAGAAAAATGCTAAAAAAAAAGTCCCACTCACCCACGACTTAGACTCTAGGATAGTCGATTGTCAACATGATTTAACTTAATTTATAGAAAATGATCTACTATCGAAACATCAATGGATCTCATCGACTATCCTTAATAAGACCAAGTTTCAATCAAAATACAACAAGAAATTTCTACAGTGAATCACTGAAAATTACCTAACATTTCACGCTTTTATGTTATGTTTGGTTGGAGGATTTGAAGAGAAATTTGAAAAGTGAAATGAAAAAGGTAAGTGAAATATAAATAAAATATGCCTATATTTCACTTAATTTTACATATATATATATATATATATTTTTAAATCATTCCTTAAATTTTCTAACCAAACACAATATTAAAGTATCAAATTTGACTCTTCGTTAAGAAAGGCCATGCGTTCACCACTAAAGCAATCACCCCATTAGTCACCCACCCACCTACCAAAGGACGAGAGAATACAGCTGTGCTTTGAAGTTGTTGTGCCTGGCATATGGGTAGGAATGGCAACGGGGCGGGGCGGGACCGGGGACCACCCTCCCCGTCCCCTATCCCTGATGGCTAAAACTTCCCCGTCCCCGGCCCCGATCCCCGACGGGGAACCTGTTACAGTCCCCATCCCCGTCCCCAACGGGGATCGGGTTTCCCCGATCCCGAAAAGTCCCCGATCCAACTATGTTTCAACATTCAACACCATCAACAGATAAAAAAAAAAAAAAAAACCATCAACAGATAAAAAAAAAAAGAAAAACAGATCTGTTTCAACATTCAACACCATCAACTCTGTTTCAACATTCAACATCATCAACACATATCAACAAAAAAAACAACAGATCAAAAAAAAAAAAAATTACAGATCATCATCAACGGATCAAAAAAAAATTACAGATCATCAACAGATCAAAAAATCAATAACAAATCAAAAAAGAATAACAGATCTTACAGATCTGAGCTGA